TCCCGTCGCGATCCTTACGTCGCCTACTATATATATATATATATAGTTGTAACCCATAACCCTCTTGCTTCATTCCACCAGGCGGAGGCTCTACGAGGTCTTCTACGTCAGCCATATTGTCTTTGCCACAGCCTTCTACGTGGGTATAGTATATCATAAGGTGTGTACATGACTACGCGCGCGTGTGTCTTCACACCCCCAATAACAGTAAACCTGCAGAGGCTACCTCGGGTGTAAAGCTTGGGCTGATACTGAAAACTGCCTAGTTTGTCTTGTCCTGTTGAAGTTTGATTGCCCCACACACGGGACTAACCAGGTTTACAGCATTGTTTAGAGCAAGGTGAAACCCTACACCTCCAAACCCATCGCACCAACCCACATACTGCGATATAACCGCGCCAGCCATTACCGATCACCAGTAAAGACTGTCATACACCACACTTTGTCGGCATGCCACACCCCTTCCCTTCAGCCTCTCCTTCTCTTGCCCCCTCTCCCACTCGTAGGACGAGTGCTTCAATTACATCGCAGTGGGTCTGTTCCTATACCTAGCTGACCGTATCCGTCGCTGGCTGCGTAGTCGTGTGTTGTGTCACATCACTGAAGTGCGTGCTACGCCCGGTAGTGATGCTGTGCGCGTATTCATCGTTGCCGACTCCTTACCACACCACGGCCCCGGCGAGTACGCCTATGTGCACCTCCCCACCGTCAGTCGGGTGCAATGGCACCCGTTGTCCCTGACCTCGGGCCCTGGAAAACTGGACTATGGGTATGGTGTGTGTGCTTGGTTGTGGGTCTTTTGGGGTGCGCTCTATCGTAGTGGGTCACGTTGCCTGCTGATACGTCTGCCGTTGTGGCTGTGTGCGGTTAGCTGATGGGTAGAATGAAGTGTGGGTCGGTCTTACGTACAAGAATACGTATACCGTTGAGCTTCAGCATCGCGCGGGCTAGGTTTAGTGCTCAAGCACTACCGGCATACTAAATGTTTTGCTATGTTGCTATGTATGTATTACTCGCATGTATTCGGTTTGCTCGCAGTTCCGGGACAAAGATCGGGCAGACAACCGCATAGAGTTCTGTGCGCGAATGTCTCAAGCACTACCGGCTTACTTAACGTTTTGCTATGTTGCTGTGTATGTATAACTCGCATGTATTCGGTTGCTTGCAGTTACGGTACGAAGATCGGGCAGACAACCGCATAGAGTTCTGTGCGCGAATGTCTCAAGCACTACCGGCTTACTTACCGTTTTGCTATGTTGCTGTGTATGTATAACTCGCATGTATTCGGTTGCTTGCAGTTCCGGTACGAAGATCGGGCAAACAACTGGGTCCATAGAGTTCTGTGCGCGAATGTCCTTGACCCGAACTCCGCGCAACAGGTTCGAGGTGCAGGAGGAAGGGGCTGTCAAACAACACGATGAGTCATGCTGGTCCAGTGGGATGACTCGGCTGCTACAGGGCTCGCCAGGTGCAGTAATCAGATGCGATGCGTGTGGTCTACTTATGAGTAGCGTGATATGCTGTGCACGAGTGAACGTATGGTATAGGGAAGGATGTCTGGGCTGTTGTAAGTTTACCAGATGTAGTATTAGAATGCAATACATGCGGCTTACTTATATGTATATCATGATATGCTACTTATATGTATATCATGATATGCTACGCACGAGTGAACGAACGCCTTATAGAGTGATCAGTCTCTTGCCAGATTCAGTTCCTCAAACTGAACCTTTATATAATTATATATACATATATATATTATATATATAACATATATGTATGTGTGTGTGTGTGTGTGTGTGTGTATGTATGTATGTATATGTATATATACATATATATATATATTCATCCTAGCTCACTCTATTTTCTTATTCATCGTATACAGTGTATGTTGATGGACCGTACGGACACCTCGGTATACCGTTGAAAAGGTATGTAAATGACTCAAGTAAAAATAATCAAGAATGGGCCCATACTTGATTCGCGATGATATGCTCAGTCTTTGCGCAGCGCGTACCCTCACTCGCATCAGAAGTCCGGCTCATATAGTAGATTATATATATATATATATATATTATTTATTTATTTATTTACTTGTATATATATGTATATGTATATATATATATGTGCGTGTGTGTGAGTGTGTATATATGTATATGTATATGTATATAGATATATAGATATATAGATGCATAGATGCATAGATATAGATACATATATATATATTAAGCATCTTCACTTCTCCTACTTTAAACACCAGATGTAATCGGCTGGTTCTCATTGGCGGGGGCGTGGGGATTACTCCGCTGATCACATTTGTGCGTCATTTTGTCTATTGCAAACGTGCTGGAGAGATATTTGCCCCACACACGGGTATCGCACAAAGCCCAGAACGCACCAGTTTGTCCGCAGAAGGACCGGTTAAGGCCCAACTGGACGACCCAGATAGTGAGAGCGACGAGGAAGCCGAAGGTGATGGCTTTGACTTCTTACCGCAGCACGACAATGATAGTGGCCGAAGTTCGGTATTGGGTGCGGCGGCTTGCGTGGGCGCTTCAGAATGTAGTGTGCGGAACATACAGGTATGGTACGACCCTTGCCTACACAACAGGCCTTGTGAAAGTATAGTTCCTCGAATTTTGTTGCGAGTTACATATGTATGTATGTATGTATATATGTATATGTATATATGTATATATGTATATATGTATATTTACATCTATATATATATATATACATAAATATATATATATATATATATATGTGTGTGTGTGTGTGCATGGTAGTTAGAAAAGTACATGTGCACATCGTTTTCTTTCTGTTCCATATCGAATAGCTGTCGACCAAACTGCTTATCTAGTACTGTATTGGGATTTCATGATTAAGATTATGATATATAGGGATTCTGGTCCAACTCAATCTTGCTTGATGTTCGGTACTTCCAAAGGCTGTGGATCTACTGTGGGTTGTGCGCGAGAGGGAATGTTTGGACTGGTTCCAGGACGATCTGAAAGAAATGGTGCAAGATTCACGAGCATCTGCCTCCCGTGAGGAGAAAGTATGGGTAAAATACATTGACTTGATATATATATATAGTATATAGTATACAGTATACAGATACCTACTGTATTGATCGGAGTTTACGTTGTTACCTGTATGTCTGTATGTGTGCTCATGTATATATATATATATATATATATATTTATATATTCAGTTGTATGGTATGTATCTCTCTTCTGGCCCAATCGCTCCACATTCACAATCAACATATTGGCGACGGATGAATCTATCTTCGTGTCCACAATATTTCTTCGTCGTTTAGTCTGCTGTTTATTGGGTGGGCTGTAGAGTCTGTCTGTGTCCTTATTTTGGCTGTTGTGGCGTCATTAACACCTGTCTTTATTTCGGCTTTTTCATTGGGCCTTGCGGGTCCTTGCATCAGTAGTATTCTGACAGTATTGGACGCTTCGCTACTTAAAATCCCTAGGGCTTTTAATCTCTAAACCCTAGAAAAAATTAATAGGTGTACCGCACTTCTACAGCATACGTCTCACTTGACACTTTGCCGTTGCTTCGGATTTATCTCGCACTGGCCATAGACTTGTAACACACTGCTCATATATATACTACTTCTCATATAACTGAAGATTGAACTAGCATACTACACGCCCTAACCCCAACAGACAGTCACTCGCGATGCGGAACTGTATTCCAGGAAGCTGTCGGTCAACCTATACGTGACAGGTGATCACGAACACTCCGACCAGAGCAACAATGAGGATGGCTTGTCTGAAGCGGGATTCAATATACACAGTGAACGGCCCTCGGTATGTCGCTGCAGCTTGTTCTTTGATGCTATGAATGTTGCTGAATGAAGACTGGTTAGCTGTCTGGCTGTTTGTAAAAGAAAATACATAGTTCTACCGATATGAGTGAATCCAGAAACTCGATAGCTTTCTGGATATAATCCAATCCAAGAACTTATTTGTTTACAGCTATTGGCATTGTAGTAGGCGATGTCTCTCCGGTGCTGCCTTATATGGTAGATGTTTGCTTTATAAGGTAGTAGACGCTTCTTAGTTTTTTAAGTTTTTTTTGTGTGCTGTGCACTTCACTCACACTTGAGTAGCAAGAACCGCGTAGTATGTGTGCTATCGTTGTGGTGTGGCTGTGCTGGGCTTAGGCCTGAAAAGTATTACTTAAACTGCCATGGCATCCCTTCTCTTAGTGCTGCTCTCACCTACCTACTCAATTGTCCTACCTACCTACTCAATTGTCCTACCTACCTACTCAATTGTCCTGCACCTGTCCATAATTACAGATCAGGGCCGAACTCCAGAAAATCGCTGCGGACGAGATCAACAACGGTATAGGGTCTCTGACTACGAGCATAGTGGGGCTGGTGGTGTGTGGGCCAATGAGCATGGTCGACGAAGTGCGACAAGTAGCGCTATCGCACAGGTGGGAAGGCGGGCGTGTGGTGTTCTTGGTACACCAGGAGTCGTTCCTACTATAAACCCTAACCCCGTGGCTTAGGCGTGTGCTGTGTGCTGTGTATAGGTTAGGCTGGCTGCTATGGTTCTGTAGGATGTCAACACGTCGATTCGCTTGTGAAAGCGGTTCGGAGAGGCGTGAGATGGATGTCTCTACACCCACATCCTGCGTATGACTCATCTGAAAGCTCGAACCTCGTGGGTATGAATGAGCACTAGACTGTGTAGTGTAGACATGGTATGTTTCAGGAGGAGCTATATTAATTCATCTGGATTTGGTGTGGCTGGTCAAGGAGTTAGATAGCTGCTATCACTATGGTTATGAATCTTGGCCGTGATTCACAAAAGAGCTAGAACATCGAAGCAGAGGAGAGGACGTGCTGCTCTTCGACACACGCGTGTTTCAATTAGCGGATATAGTTTCTATATTCATTTTAATTTTAGTCTTGCAGAGAGCGTTAGAATACGTCCTGCAATTGGCTATTGGTGGAAGCCCTTTCTATCATTGCATCTAATTAGTCAGCGCTGTGGTAGATTACCCCATAGCGACACCAGTGCAATCACTTACATCTTCAACACAAAGGTGAGTGTGTCTTCGTGAGGTTACGGTTCGTCCAGACTCGAATGCAACACGCTCCCCATACAAGCATATTGCTATGCTTCGTGTTACTGAGAAATCGCCCCAAACCGGTTCTAGCTAGTAAAAGCAGGTCAGGGATATCTCAGACCCGAGATTCAGTACCCCGTCAACCCAAGTTTAGAGTCATAAGCACTAGGACTCAACGGTCTAAGAAGGGTACTCTGTGGGCAGTGACCAGCAACACGAATGTACTCAGTGCAATGTAACCCCTTGTTTCACTTGAACGAGTTAAGTATATGTTTGTATTAATTTAGTCACCGTGGTATGGCGAAACGTATAAATCAATGAACTTCCAGTTTTTGCCTCACACATAGATGACAAATACTTTCTCGTCTGAATTTCGATGCACATAACGAATGAAGCCAAGATATAGATACAATTTTAAGGCCTCAGATTGTTGACTTGCCATTTGATTAGAATGAAGGAGTGGCTTTTCCTAAGGCCGTATGCGCTGTAGTATCTGTAGAACGACATGCTTTATACACAATGCGGCACATTAGCCATGGGCTCAATGACATATTACACCTTAGCATGCTGAGAAGTATTCACGGATTATATCGGTATTTAGAGTGATATGTGATGGCCAACAAAACAGTATCAAGATGTGTCGTTCCTGACGATCTCGTGCCTACTGTTTGTAAAGGACACGACTTCCGATTAATATACGATACATAGTCGAACAGAAATTCGACATATAAATATATATTTATACCAGTCTGGCTTAAGTTTGGCACTTTAAATTAGGTCATACACATCGTTTAACTAAAAACGCAGCCACAATTGCTCCGCACGAATTCTATGCTAAACTGGCAGTCATGTCCACCATCGACCAACAACTGGATCCACTTACAACTTGAACCAACACGTGTGTATTTTTAGAATCAGAGCCGTTTACAAAACACCTTCCAAGATATCTCTATTATGGACTTGTATAACGCCTACGAGTGGCTACTTTGACCCAGTTCTGGACTTCTGGAAGTCCTGGTACAAACAGGAATCGTTCACGCCATTCTAACATAGCCATCTAAAATCTAAATTAGACAATAATTTAGAGGGAATATATTGCTTTTTTTGTTTTGTTTTGTTTTGTTTTGTTGTTGTTGTTTTTAAAATAAATCAAATTTAAAAATATTTAAAATTGGTATTCGTCATCTGACGAGAGTTGGGATGAATATGTTTTTATATAAAAAATCGAAATTCAGTTTATTCCCGTGCAGTCGTGCACGCACATAAATAAAAACAACGGGGATTCGGGGAACGTTTCCAATTAAATAAGTATTATGCTCACCAGGATCTCAGTGTGCGTACAGCATCTGCAAATGATAGATAAAGCCTGTAAAGCCTTGAGAGTGTATAGTAGTGCATCCGGTTTCGATTGCCAAGAGCCCTTAGAGAGTTGGCGGTATTTGCGGTTTTATGGTACGTATGAGCTACATGCAAGTGAATGTAACGAGAAAGACTTGGGCTATACACCTTCATCTCCACGCGATCTCAATTTCAGTGAACCAGTTCCACTCTGTTCAACTATCTATCATATACTGTCGAATATATAGATATTGGATGACCATAAACCGATAAAGAAGGGCATTAGAAATCGTTTATCATTTTAGAATGTTTAGAGTTTTCTAGTTGTCGTACCTGCTGATGTCAGAGTTTTGTGCTTGTTGTAACTGCAAATGTCAGCAGTTTTTGGTTGTCACAGCTTCGAATGTATCCCGAAAACCGCACAGCATATTCCTACAAGGGCCCGTACAGAGAATATGATATTCGACCTAGCTAATAGGATACTTGCCACCAAATTATAAAATTGAACCCTCAGACAGAGACAATTTTCTTCACCTATGGTTATATAAACCAAAAACCTCTACAGTTTATTGCTGATGTAAATACTAACTGAACAGTAGTACCCATGCCAAATTGGCAACTAATATTCCCTCGATATTGCTGGTAGTAATTTGGAACACAGAGCTTGCCTGCACACTCTCAAGGCGGGTTAATGCTTTAATTCGCTTGATATATGCACAAACCTAGCGATCACAGATAATTGGTATACAACTGGTAATTTATTGTTGTGCATCATCTCTTTCGAGGAGGATTCGTTACAAGTACAAAGTAGTGGTACTTTGCTCCATTATATTTGGTTTTTGGGACAAGTGCTCTTGTACCGGACCTTTCACACTGTAGTGTGATGACGTCTCACAAAGACTATTGCTTATGGTGCTCGTATGTGCTTGCCCGGACGCTTTAGAGGCTGTGTACACTTCATGCAGTCAAATACATCCGATTGTCAATTATTTAGCGTATCCCCAAGAAAAATACAATTCTTGATGTGAGATGTAAGATAGTAATAATTAAAGAGATATAAACACCAGTATCTCCTGAGGCTAACAATGATGAAAGATGATCCGGGACTATCTGATGCTGAAATGTGCTAGTCGTGTTTCTTGATTTCATTTGAAATCAGCAGGCGGCTGCTGCTCGCACATTCAGGGTACAGTCCGTATGTTGGTACAATATGACGACACTGTATAGTCTTAAAATGATCCGTAGCTCTGGCCTAAAACTTAATAGGGACAGCATGGGGTATCGGGAAGTCGCTTCGGAGGGATTGCAGCTTCTTCTTGAACTATGGCATCTTCACGTTCACTGCCGCAACTTAAAGCATCAATGCTGTCCACAGGAACTGGTTTCTTATCCGTCGAACCCGGTGTCGTAGCCGCATGAGCTGGCTTTTGAAGCTCATGAGATTCGGTACACATTTGTCTATCCGTGGTTTTAGAGGACGTGAAATCCTCCGAATTTGAATGATCAGACGGCTTGTCCCCGCGATTTCTGTTTCGCTGTATTAATTGCCCTAATGTGCGGTGCCTCTTCACGTACATGTATGTGGCTAGAAAATGACCGAAGGCTAATCCCAGCACAATGGCCATAAAAATCCATGACGAGTACGTCATTGTTAGTAACATCATCCAGTAGCCGATTGTGACTGAGATGAGCACGAGACTACTGTTTAGGGCCATTTCGGAACAGGTAGGATCCCGGTTCTCTGTCAAGGTTGAATTATCGTGGCATTGTATTAGGATCAATCAATATAGGATAGGTTTGATGATTAAACATAACAGGTTCGAATCAGATACGGGGACGGGAAGTAGACAATAAATACTCAATAGAAGAGCATCACCGTGCTAATATTCGTACAATCCATCCATCTGGTAACTATCATTTGAATTAAAATACACATCTGGCAATTGTCAAGAGAAACCAAATACATACCGGCGAACTGTCTGGCCGCCTGTCCCTTCTCAATTGCTGATCGTAAGCGATTTAGCACTTGTACGACGACTGCGAGGATGAAAGAACCAATTGTTGCGGCCGTAAACTTCAACTCCGTATCCAGTACGAGACCATCGAAGAGAAAAGTTATGCAATTGTCCATGCTGTTAAGTAGTAAATGAAGTATTAGTTTGCGCTTTTGAGCTATACGTCATAAGCCTACAATATTATCAGCAACAAGTCTAATATAACGATACAACCACTTCAATTTTAGACATAGTAGTTGCCATCATATCTGACGGTGGACGGCCTTATAATGATACAGCAATACACATTCGCGGGCATCATAGGCATCATACCGCATAATATATACTTACTTGAATGTGAATCCGTTCAGCATGACCGTTCCCGTACCATAACAAAATTTATCATAGTTGCTGGCTGTTGATACAAGAGTCAGTGTGCTACTATCAGAATCGGCTGTGGCATTGGAAGAGTTTGTAGACAATTCCATAGGCGTCTCGATACCTTCTACAATACCACTGAATGAAGACATCAGATCAGACTCCGAATATATCCTCGTGAAATGCTCGCTCATACTGCAAGCGTGTAGATTTTGATTTCCATTACAGTACAGTGTGTGCTCCTCAATGCCCTGCATCCCACAGAACATACACTGTACCGATGGCTCAACGTACGTGATCGCTGACGAACTGTGACAAAGAAATTTAATATCATAAGCCCGCAGGTAGAGGATACACTCGAAAATACTAACAAGTACGCTCAAGTGATAGTTTGCAAAATTCTTAGAGTACGTACGTACAATTAGAAGGAACCACCCCTAACCCAATTGTGATTGCCATTGAATACGTATAGTATGTTGTAATGCTTGACGTAGTCCAACCCCGCCGGTATAATACTACAATAGGTATTCGCGCAGGTCAGGTCATTTAAACTCGATTTCTCGACAGAATGCTTCATTCACATTAGTGTGTATCACACTTAACTACGGTCGTTTTTGCTTCTTATGTCACAGTACAAGCGGACTCGCATAGCAGAATTACACGGTCATTTATCCAACACTATAATATATTAATCAATAATATGAATAACGTATTCAACTTTGCCAGTACCTAATATAGAAGCAATTAGATATGGATTGCGCTGTGCAGTCTAAAACAACTTGCATCTACACTTCTGTCACAAAAATGAGAACATTCAGCGTTGGCGCCGTGCTTATCGCTGACAGAAAGCAAACATAGTTTTTAATGTAGCAGTCATTTGATGTAAGTAGCTTTAATTAGATGTCTAAAAGGAACTCGACTACCTAGCGCAGGTAATTCTAACAAAACAAATGAAACTCACCTTGTTTCTGGCAACGTGCCGTTGCAGTATGTCATCGGAGCCGCAGCAAACGTAATCGCGTGTTCAAGCGTGCAGACATAGACCTTTTGATGTCCCTTCTTGACACTGACATATGAGCTATTAGTATTTACCGGTGAATTACAAACGGGGCATGCAATAGTATCATCACTTCGTCTGTGCTGATGATGGTGGGATTCATCATGCATGTACTCGCTATTCTGTGTGACTTCAAATGTATGTACTACATCTTTACGTAAACGATCATAACCTGGCGAGTGCCCTTTTGTTGGTTTTTTTATGGCAAGGGTTGGGTCTTCACCGCTAACAAGCGTAGCAATACACGCGCATATAATTGTTGCAGCAAGCCAGCAGCGAGCATACTTTTGAAATGCGCGCATATCTTCTATTGATTGTTGACTGTGTTTGTATCTGTGATACTTAATCCTTACATATGCACGATATTGATTTGCTTTTATATATTGCAACAACTATCCTTGTCTCACGAGTTCAAAATCATTGGAAAATGTACACAACTAAATATATTGTATATATTTGCTGACGAGCTATTTTTTAATTTAAAATACGGTGTATTTATATGTGGAGTAAATATAAAAGAAAACACTCCACAGAGAGAGTACGTCTACACTCTACACTCTACAGTCCAATATGATTTTTTTATTTATAAATACGTTTATTTCGACCTTGACAACAACAGTGGGGACGGTTTTTTTATCAAGGAGACATTTTACGTCGTATAAAAACTTTTTTTGTGACGAGATGCGAAGCGGCCCTTTTGTGGTACATTTTTCTTGTATCTGGACCTATTTCCGGCGATGTGCCAGTGCGACTCGAAGTCGAGGTGTAGTACGGGATACGACACTTGTCCCGATTGGATCGGTTGGGAAGTCCTAGGCCTCACTCGGGACAACGTACACAAGATGGTACTCCTGTCCGTATGTTTGGACGGATGGTCCAATATCTAGATAGACGGGACAGGGTGGTTAAATCTGTCCGTTGCTTTATTAGTCCATATATGGACATTTGGTTTTGCTCATATAAAAATTATAATTTATGAGCCATTGTTTGAGTCTCTCCTATACTTAGGACAGACCTTGATTCATTTGGTTTATTCTTACAATACTAGGTCACTCAAGGTTGAGCTTTATCTAGTTTAGTTTGCCAATAGTCCAATAAACTGCAGTGTACTAAACCATCAATTCAATCAAGTTATATTTATTTCACTGATTGAGAGTAGTAAGTACTTGGTACATAGTGGGTACATAGTGGGTACATATAGTGCACAAGTATAATGAAGTGAAAGTACCCGGCCCTCCTGGAATAGGGTCGCGAGCAGAAATCAGGTTTCTTCCGACGACATCGTAAATTTTGCGAGACCCTAATGGGCCTAATCCAAAGTGAGCAATATTATGTCGTATTTGATATTCTGTCCTGTTTTGACCTCTAAAACCAAGTTTAGTAAAAAAAATAAGGGTACGTAAAACACTAATAATAAACCTTGTCAAGGACAAATAACCTTCAATGTTTTTTTATAAAGAATACTGAATTGTCCGACTTCAGAAGTTCAGAAAAGTCGACTCCTATAAAGCTAGCAGAACACTGGGACAGGCCCTGGTGATTTTTTTAACCAAGTGTTTCTGGGATTCTACTCTGAGCTATAGACCATGCGGATTTTTATTTGAGGTTGTTGATAGAGAAGAAGTTTAAAAAAATATCCCCCAATTTGTATGGATGTATCTGGGATCACCATACACCGGTCCGGATAGTCAGATACACTGATACAATCAGATGTTTTTTTTTAAATCAAGCACAGTTGCTAGAATTGAAATATTACACCCCATACTAAAATTGATTGCATATTTTACTCGCGTTGTTGCGCAAGTGTGTCCAATGGGCGGCCATCTTACAAAAGGGAATGTTAAGTTTAGATTCTTTCGAGTTTAGACTCTTCATCTAAAGAGTAAACGAGAAATATTTTTAGTACTTACTACATATTTTCAGTAGATTTTATTTTTAAACCTCTACGAGTGTACGATTGTACGTCTGTACGACCTACAGGCTACAGACCAGTCCTACACTGACACAGTGACCCACTGACGCTCCTAAATACACAGTCACAGTCACTCGGACCCACTCCTACAGTATTACTATTTACTGACTTCCGAGTAGTACCCACCAGAAGTGAATACTGACTGCTGCGTACGTATGTACTACATAGGATAATATTTAAAAAAATTCGTCCTTTTTTGTTTATCGTTGTTTGGTTTCTTTTCTTCTAAAAAACCCAAAATAAAAAGTAAAAAAACAGAAGCCCCCCAAATTTTTAATATCAGATTTTTGATTGGCATTTATTTTCAAAAATATAAAAAGATACAAGACCTTCGATACAAATACGAAAATATGTGTGACCTCACTGACCTGTGAGTGGCTGTGACAGTGTCAAATTGTCAATGTGTCACTGTTACCAAAGTCAGACTGACAGACGACAGTGTAAGACCACTGTAAGTCTGTAAGTGACTGTATATAACTGTAAAGTGAGAGTCTGTGTAAAAAAAACTTTTGGGAGTAAATTGTTGCGCAACACAATGACTCCCGGGAGTCCCGGTCCACAGGTGGTTTTACCTTATTTGACCTTGTTATTTTTGTTTTCTTTTGTTGTTGTTTTTTAATAAAAACAGTACAAATATCAAAAATAAAATAAAAAGGGATCAAAACCGCCTGGCACCTGGGGCTGGGATGCTGGGACTCTGTCTCTCTCTCTACTCTCTCTAGAGTAGAGAGAGAGGAGTCTGGAATTCTGGATCTCTGGGACCCGCCTGGGGTCGTAAATAGGCCTCTCTAGTAGTAGGGACTTGGCGGGAGGAGGTAGACTCAGTCACTCAGGAGCGGCAGCACTGTCAGCACTGAGCGTTCAGCAGTGACAGCACTCAGTGACAGGAGGTCTCGGACTCTCAGGCCTCAGCAGTAGGAGATTTTCTAATCCATAATCCAGAGTTTTTATTCCCCTTTTCACCAATCATCACTCACCGTTGTCACGGATTCTTACGGACGGGCACATGGCACACGCCCACAGAGCTACGGACTCTCAGATTCTCAGTCTCACAGTGGCTAGTTACTGTCACCCGTTAGATACTACATAGTCGTTACTTATTTTTACCCCAGTCAGCCAAGTTTCAATACTTTAGGGTCTTAGGACGTGAACACGCTTTCAGTCAAATTCTTATCAAATTCTTTATTGTAAAATGTACTATGGTCTCCTAAATACGTTAAACATAATCTTGGGTTCTTGCCAGTCTATGCTTGTGAATACGTAATCAATCGTGCTACGTTTTCAAGTACAAGGCACAAGCCCGTACGTAATTACGTATGTATTGATTTGAAGCCTGGGCTCAGCAGTCAGCAGTCAGCACTCACTGGCATCAAAACTCACTGAGTTACAGGCTACGGCCTCCTCTATTAGTAGTACTATATCTATACTAATAGTAGAGCTCCCACTGACAATCTCGTTCTCACACACACACACACTCTCTCTCTCATAACTTATCTCAAATTGTCAACTCTCTATATGCAAGGGTTGTGGCCGTGTGAGGACTGGGCTTGGTGTGGAGCTGTGTGCACTGCGGTGACTGGAGTGTGGACTACTTGTGAAGTTGTGAGCTGCGAGTCAGCCGAGTCTGTGACTGAGTGTATGAGTGAGTTTGTTGTCGAGAGAGTGAGACTCGAGAAACCAGAGTGTGTAAGTTCCCTGGAAGTCTGGAACTGTGGATTCTGTGTGGAACTGTGGACTGTGGACTGTGGACTGTGGAGTGTGGACTGTGGAGTGTGGACTCTCGTGGAGTTTGGACAAGCAAGTGACGTTGTTACTCTCTCTATTTATTTATTTTGAAATTATGATCGTAGGCTCTAAATTTTAAGAAGTTGTGAAGCAGAGCCGCACCGGTTACACAAAGTTGCGCAATACTCGAAGTTTATTGGTAAAGTATTGATATATTGCAGCTGCTTCGAACCAATTGAAGACTATTCAAACACGTATGATTGCTAAGAATTTGTTTTTGCTTTCTATTCGTCACTCTTTTAATTCTCTCATCCAATAGAGAAGCGGTGAATAGTATGTGGCAACTATGAAACACAATTCCTAGATAAAAACTTTGCCCTAGAGTATATAGACTTTTGGTCCTTCGGAGTTTGGAGGCATAGCTTATTAGTTTTTTATTTTTTTTAAAGATAAGCCTCTTTTTTTAACTATTTGGCTGTCCATATTTAGCTCTTTTTAAAAAATATCTCTGGCAAAATATCTGTGCTCGGATTCTGTCACTGAATGACTCTACTAGGTCTGTGTTATGTATGTAAATGTTTGTTCACAAATATAAGCAATAATTTGGTAAAGTTGGTCCATACTCATACTATGTACTTGGTATCCTCCAGAGAGAGAGTAGGATCTAACGCAGAGTTATAGATAGGGCCCTGTTGGTTCCAAGTTCGAAATTTAGGGTTTAGGGATTAGGACTTTGTGGTTTGGGATATTTGGGATTCTCTTTGGGACTTGGGACTTGGGTCCTGGTTCAGTACGTCGTGAACCTCAAAGTGGCGAGGGGTGCGACTTGGGTCCTGGCCTTCTGTTTCGAAGTCTAAAGTTTCTGGACTCGAGTTCCAATACTCGAAGACTCGAAGGGCAAAAACATTCCGTCAAGCCTCGAGGGGAATCGAGACCTCCATACATATATATACCAAGTAATAAAAAATACTTTCTCTTGCTGTGAAAGAGTATTTTTATAAAAAGTATTTATTCAAAGTGACAAAGTGGGCGCACGGAGAAGAATCGAGGGCTGTTGCGGTCAGATATAAATTAAGTCAATACACATTGTTCTCCACACACAAGTGCATCTTTTAGAAACTTAGTATGAGGGCAGTATTCGCAACCACATTCGCTTTAGTGCATGCCGCTTTTGCTGCAGTGCATCTGAACGCAGCCGATGAAAGTTCACTTATACCGACCTTGACAATTCCTGAACTGAAACAATTGCCACAACATGCAAACAGACTCAATGTAGCTATCATAAATGGTCTTTCAGATGAATATCAGCAAGCTGTGCGTGGGCTACGACGCGATGCGCCCGCATGTTTTGCGAGTTCAAGCGACGGCAATACACTTGAACGCGCCATGGATGACGGATCTAAGCGCACCACTCTTGCATACGATGACGTGTCTATGCGTTCTGGGGCTGATCGAGGAGTCGATTGTGTAGACTTGTCTATAATAGAACAGACGTTCGAGGAGATCCACCAGGCTTTTGTGGATGGTCTTGAGCAGGTACTAGACAGTCAAGAGGCACTGCAGTGGATGAATGCAGATAAAAGTGTGACTCATCTGAGAGACGGACCTCACAAATCACACGTGCATGTTTACAGTCAAGATGCTACGGGCAAAGTTTTGAATAGCGATGAGCTTATGGTACCGTTCCACACAGACAATGGTCTCTATCTACTACTCACGCCCAGTGAGTATTCTGGTTTGCTGGTCAAGAATGATCGCGGAGAAACAGTTGATCTTTCTGGCCTCAAAGAGGACTCAGTTATCCTTATGATGGGAGGTGCTATGTCTCAGTGGCTCTTGAGTGATGCACTGAACGGTGATCGCTTCGCTGCTACTGCGCATGCCGTTCCGACTCTGCCCAGAGATGTTCCTGACCGTACGGTGTACGCACGCATGCGAGTTGCGCCCATGACATCTGTAGCTGTTGCCAGCATTGGTAAGCAAGAGAACCCTGCCGTGTTTCGCGATATCTTCATGAATGAGCGCTCGCGCAGAGACGCCACCTTCAGTCGCTTTGCCAGAGATGGGGTGGATGCTTGTGTGGACGACGATGGAGTCCCTGGCGTGCAATGCTGGATGAGTTGTATGACAGAGTTTGACGATGCGTGTTCGGGTAAACCCCTCGATCAATTAAGTTGCGAATGGGACTATGAAAATGGCACCATCGCGGAGTGTAAGTTGTATGAAACTGACACGAATAATTTAGTTCACGGCATGGGATGCGACATAACGTGTAACGCAGATGCTGACTCTGGTGTAAGTGATATGGTCAGCGGAACAGATGATGTGACGACCGACATGCTATCGGAATCCGAGAGCGACAGAATTTCGAGAACTGACGCCGTAGATGAGTCTGGAGACGTAACGGACGATGTTATTTTCTCTACTGCGTTTGAAAGTGAGACAGATACTATCTAAGCTCGGGAATGTCCCACATAGCTACGTGTTGAGTACACATACATTGATCTACCCTCCAGTTTCTAGTGGAGGTGTTTGCCAGCATGTGCAGGTAATAAAGAAGCTTCGTAGGTAGAAGAGCATACGCAACATCTTCATAGGCAAACAGCGCATATTACTACACGGTCGTCGATCAAAAGCTTACTTTACACATTTTGCGCAAGCAGACAAGCCCGTGTTGTGAAGTCACAATCTTTTAAGATCATATCACTACGTCATTCAGGTTTTGCTCGTTGAATCACTTAATAAATTGACTAAATTTATCCATATTGGTAAGCAATTTCTGAGTGTATGAGGTATATTCAATATACCCAACAGTTGCCCTCCAGTATATATATGTATATCTATATATATTTATTGCACACATCATAACATTATACACTATTGCCTGGTAAGCGTGGAAAGTTCTTACACAGACATGGTAACGATTTTTCCAAGCTGCTCAGACAATAAGCACCAACTGACTAACAATAGTTACTTCACCCAAAAGACAGCCCTCATCAATGCTTCCTACTTCCGTCAGATCATTTTAATGCTAATGTGGTATAAATGTTGTATTGTTATTAAGTGTTCGCTGTATATTGCGTTATCCTAATTTGTCGGCGATTGATACCTCATGTATATCATTCTCAAGTCTCAGCGTCTAATTTAATCCATCGAGATATACGGCACGCCACATTCAGTAGTGTTATTCTCTGTTCAGAAATAACTGGATAGCGAACGCTGTACCTTGAGATATCCTGTGAGGAAGGTGAATTTGGCCAACGAATAAATAGCTGTGCAAGCACTAGAACATAAACTATATGTGTATGTACAAGTGATGGGGATGTTATGTTGGTAACTTAATAGATGTGCAAGCGATATACGTACAATATATGTACAATTGATGGGGATGTTATGTTGGTAACTTAATAAATGTGCAAGCGATATACGTACAATACATGTACAATTGATGGATGTTATGTTGGGTACTAAATAGATGTGCAAGCGATATGCGTACAATATATGTACAATTGATGGGGATATTATGTTGATAACTAAATAGATGTGCAAGCTATATACGTAATATATGTACAATTGATGGATTTTATGTTGGTAACTATATAGATATT